TCATGCAGGGCTTGAGAGACCGCGGCATCGGTCTGACGTTGTGTCCACATGCCTACCACCGACGGCAAGAGACCGCAGTCCTGTTTCGCAAGATACAGATATTACTCGACGCCGGAGTTACAGTCTGTATTAATAGCGACGACCCCGCGTACATGCGTGAGCACAACCCCTTCCAGCTCCGTCATCGACATACTTACAAACATCGCTCAGACGACGTCTGGATCGACGGCAATATGCAGAAGGTTCAAACCTATTGCGGGCTGTCTAAAGCCTCCATGGTACAGCTCTCACGCAACGCTGTGGAGATGAGCTGGGCAGCTCCCCAGGTCAAGCGGCGAATACTGGCGGAATTGGACGAAGTTGATACCCGCTAAGAATCAACCACCCAACAACATTTGGACACGACGAGGAATAAACATGGAAGAGCCACGAGCTATAAGTAGCCTAACGTCCGCTCGCAGTCATAAGAACTTAACTTAGTCCCTCACAAGTACACCCTAAAGAGTATATGAAGCATGTGAAGGAGAGCAATTATAGTGGAGACAATGCAGACCCCCTCAACGAGTAAAGAGGTTTCCCATCGTCATCTTCTTACGCAGACTATATATACCGTAATATCATACTTTCAAGGCCACGGATGCTCGAAGAAGCTCAATGTAGCCGGGACGGCGTACCAAGGCCCTGGCATTCATATGGAGTGTATGCATAACGCAGGTGAGATAGACTTGAAGCTCTGTCAGACTTCGAACCCTATTGACATTTCACATAGTATCAGACAAGAATGCAGGACTTATTGTCATTTAGACAATCGTGCTCCAAGGATGGCAAAGATCCCGGGTTCTTGCACGATGCATGACTTTGTGTATTTTCCTGGCCCTGAATTCCTCCCCTTACCATGGGCTCTCCGGGCCTTTGTTTCTTCATCATTTCCTCTCCACAGCTTTTTTCAAGACCTGCGCAAACACCCATACATCGTGAAACGAGTTATACAACGGCACAGGTGCAACTCTGATAACATCGGGCTTTCTTTGATCGACAACAACTCCCGCATCGTGCAACGCGGCTCCTACATATTCCAGCAAGCCCGGTTTTAACAACAAGCTCAGCTGAGCTCCGCGCTGAGCGGGGTCAAGCGGTGTGATTATCCGGAAGGGTGGCTCTGCGTCACCATTTAACAAAAGATACTGAAGGTATGCCGTCAATTTCAACGACTTCTCCCGTAGCTCCTCGATCGAAGTCTGGTCAAAGACCGACAGTGATGCGCACACCGAGGTCAAGTCGATGGCCGAAGGATTCGATATTTGGAAACCTCCTGCTCCCGGGATTGGTTGGAAATCTGGAGGTTTTATAAGTTACCGCCTTTTCGACCTCCTCAAGGCAGAGCACTTACTATTGTCCATGTCAAATCGTGACGACTTATCGCCGCTATACCACCCCGTAAGTCGAGGTCGAAAGACCGGACGATCCTGACCCTGGGGATACTCGACCTTGCCATGCTTCTCGTGCACGAATAAGCCGGCAATGGATCCGGGCCCAGCATTCATGTACTTGTACGTACACCAGGCCGCAAAGTCGACGCCCCATTCGTGCAGCTTCATTGGCACATTCCCAGCAGCATGAGCCAGGTCCCACCCAATCATCAGACCCTTGGCGTGGGCATGGCCTGTGATTGTGGGGATGTCCAAGAACTGACCGCTGTAGTACTGAACGCCCGGAAGCAGCACCAGCGCAATCTCATCGGCGTACTTATCTATCGTCGACAATATTTTTCGGGAGGAAATGATGTGATCCTCGTCCGGTTCGACGAGAATCATGGACTCTTTAGGGTCATAGCCGTGCCATAAAATCTGTGATTCAATCGCGTACTATTTATCATGGAGTGTCAGCTGACAACGAACAACAAAAAAGATGTGAATGATCGACCACTTCACTCCAATAGCCAAGCTCCCTCACTACAGGACGTCGACTCACGTGATCACTAGGGAATGCTTTCCACTCCAGAAGAATCTTGTTGCGCTTCGTCGTTGGCCGGTAGAAGGACGCCATCAGCAAGTGTATGTTAACAGTGAGGGTGTTGGCAATCGCCACCTCGCTGGGCAGCGCACCCACCAGCCGAGACGTCCGTTCCGCAGCAAAATCCGCCAGTGACTGCCACGGCTTGAGAGGTGATTCTTCGAGCTGAGTAAAATGTCCTCCCACGGCGATAGACGCCCAAGTATCGAGCTGTGCCTGAATGTACCCGGCTACAGCCTTGGGCTGAAGGCCAAGTGAGTTGCCGCAGAAGTAGATTCCATCTTCATCATGTTCGACTGTGCAGGAGATGTATGTGTCAGCAAATTCAAAAGCTTTCTGTCTAGTGCTCCTTTCAGTCGAATCTCACTCCTCGCTTTCCCTGCAACTAAAGTACACAGTGGACTTACCAGACTTGCCAAGAGATTTTCTCTTTAAAGCCGCCTTGGAAGGAATGATGAATTTTCCGCGAAACTCGCGAAGAGGATCCTCCAAATCCAACGACCGGGCGTGTTCCTCACTGTCCGCATTGTCCGGGAATTTCTGTTTACCCACAACAGCCCAGTCAATTAGCGTCGTAGAAGCCTCTGTATTATCGAGAAGCCCTGGTGCCATTGCTGCTCACACAGTCTGTTGATGTGTTTTCAAGTATACTGGGATCCACCGTATGTTTTTTGCTCGGTACAAGAGGTTGCCACAGATGGTAAATCGTCAGGTGATGTTTGCCCACAAATGCAGAATGTCGTTCAGGACTTTTCGGAAATCCTGGTGGCGTTCACTTTATTTATGCTCCGTTGTCACTCCGGCGGAAGCAGAGATGTTCCGAACTCTGGAGTTGAAAAGGCGGAGATTGATGACCAACTTTGCCTCCGCCTCCGCCTCCGTCTCCGCCTCAGTGTCTTCCAATCTCCATTGGAAGCTCTGCGGTTTGACCCGAAGCAAGCTGATGACATTGACGATCTGCTGAGACTTCAGCCGATAGTGGTCTCAATTAAGGTCATTCGATTTGGCAAATGATCCTGAATATTTAGCAGCGGCCATGCGGCAATTTCGGCCTTATGAGTCTGAAGAGCGAATCTGCCTATGCTCCGACAGTTTCTGGACAGGCTTAGAAACACATTGGCAGTACTTCCCATTACCAACCTGCAAATATGTTACCGGAGATGGCTTTGCAAGCGTGCATCTAGTGCACCCACGCTAGGCCCCCTGAAAGTGGCAGGTCATGCGGCGATGTGTAGAAAGGCCCCAATGACGATGGTCGCAACTGAATTTCGGCGCATACGCCCGCGAGAATGCTCCTATGCATGTAGATGTAATCAGGTCAACTTTAGCCAGCCTACGTTCGGAATTGTCGCTTGTCCGGATTACAAATGACATCTTCAAAGCGTGTGAATACGTAGATCTGTTGGTCACCAATGAAGGGAAAGTCTAGCGAAAGTGATGGTTGTCCGTTATCTTACCCAGTGTCGCTTCACCTTCCATACTCATTCCATGTCAGCATTAACCCTCAAGACTATGGGAGACATATCTGGGCTAGCCAGTGCCCAGTGGGACCGGGTCGATGGCCGATTTCGAAGATATCGCAGGCCCAGCAGTTCAGCTTGGTAGCAAGAGAGCAGGTAGGTATATTACTGGCGGTGATGTTTTAGTGGTCTAAGAGCGGTTCGTAGAATGGGATTTCAGCATCGGCCCAGCGTGTTTGATTATCTGATTCGTCCCGACGATAGACAGCCTAGATCACGGCGTCTGCATATGCTCGCAGAAAGACGGTTCACCGGAACCAATTAAACAAATTTGCTGTTCAGATCGCATCCCGATTCCCCTTACTGAATTCTTGAAGATGTCAGGGCAATTTTCCTCTTGCTTCGGGAAATTCGAATCTTTGCTTTAGACTTTCGAAGTTTGAGAACTTCTTGTTGCCGTAAGGACGAGATGGTCTTTCGTCTCCATACTTTTCTTGGTTGTCTCGCTCCTTAGACTTACGAATAGCCGCTTTTCAATAACAGTCACGCGAAGCTTAAGATCTCTGAGGGCAATAGACTTGCCAAAACATGTTCGTGGCCCCTTTCCCGACCAGGATGTGGCCGCGCTAAGATCAACATCCGTGTAAAGCTCTTTACAAACGTCGACCTCCGGCAGGCAGCCAAAGTTCAGGGTGGAATTCATTTGGCAGTGAATAGACCTCCGAATTCCGTTGTATATTGTATGCCTGCAAGGATAGAATAGTATGAAAGCATCAGGCCACGTCCAAGGTTACAACCTCGATCAAAGAGATGCAGAAGGGGCAAATACTTACATTGGCGAGGGTCACTGTCTCGTCTATTCTGTCCCCATTTGCGGACCCTATCCTGGGAAGGCTCGCTCGTAGCCTTATCACCGCCTCCAATATTGGCAGGTGAGAGACTGTTTTGTAGAGAGATACCATTTTTTCGCCCCAAATAACGGTGCTAGGCTCATTATGCAGACGGTCTTGCCCTGGCAGGGCCACTGCTTTCTTACCAGATCTCGACTGTGCCGTCCATGGACGCCAATACGAGCCGGGTCGAGTCACGAAGAGCGAGCAAGGCATCATTCCACCGAAGATCTCACTTGGGGAGAGACTAAGGAGCATTGACCACACGATAGTACGGGTTCGCAAAAGTCGATGTGACTATCACGAAGGTATCATGGACCCTAAATAGGGCCGAAGTATCCTTGTCGTACATTGAAGCATCCTACCCGGTATCCGTCATACCTCTACCGTGATCCTAAAAATTTGAAGAAACAGATGCTCCTTTGTTGTCCGCAAATTGGGGAAGTAATGCCGAGGTGAAGCCAGTCGTTACCGAAGAGGGGTCGAAAAAGCGGAGATAATCTCATGGTTAGTTAAAGGCGCGCCAGGAACAGCCCACTACTATATCGCTGTACTTCGCTAATCGATATCTATACTCTTCTCCAAGTCGCTCGCTCACAACATTTTCATCGTAGCGGCTGAAAAGTCAGCATCCACGATGAAGTTCGATCCTAACTCCAGGGCTTTGCCAAAACGTTCAGAATTACCTGCGATCCCGGGGGCTCCGGATGGAGCCGCGTGGTTCTGGGGCCCTAATGACGAGGTACGAAGTCATCCTACACTCTGGGAAGTACCGATATGGCTCTTAATTGTGGTCTCACTGCCAATCAGCTTGGGCGTCTTAATCTCCTGACCAAGGAGCGCGTTGCAGCAGCAGCAAAGTTGATAATAACCGGGGAGATTATAAATCTCAAGTTTGTCCAAGAATCAACGAACATGAAACATCAGAAAGATTGACATAGTATGCTTGACAGTTGGCGAGCGGATTATCCTAACCCGCCATCGTTTGGCAGACAAGGTTTTGTCCACACGATTCAAACCATCGGCGATTCTGGGTATGATGATTTGTATAACATGAATACCCAGAGTGGGTCACAGGTGAATGATTTACGACCAATGTCATGTGATACTGATGAAGAATGACTGACTACAATCGATAGTGGGATGGCTTCCGTCATGTAAGACTATTACGCTACGACAGTGCCGCTATAGGTAGAAGTTTTGACCTTGTGCTTAGGTTGGATTGAAGTTCAACAACGACATTATCTTCTACAACGGAGTAGGTTTTGTATTCATCTTGGGCAGAGAATAAGCTGAAACAAGGAGCTCACCATGGACGAAGTCCCAAACGCGAAGTACGGTGGAATGCAGGCTTGGGCTGAACATGGAATAGGTATAACCTCTGTAACGCCTCTGAGGGCCAAAACGTCTAACTTCGTCAGCTGGTCGCGGCGTTCTTATTGACTACGGGACTATGCAGGTAAAAGCTATGATCCAATCACGACCCACCGAATCCCGTTGAAGGATGTTCAAGCTTGTGCAAAAGCGCAAGGGGTGGAATTCCAGTATGGTGATTTACTACTGATACGGTCTGGGTTTGTCGATCATTACGATAGACTGGATGAGAAGGGACGGAAGCAGCTGGGGACACTTCAGATCCCAGACCATACATTTGTTGGAGTCGAGCAAACGGAGGAAATGCTCGATTTTCTACACGACAACTACTTCAGTGCCGTAATAGGTGATGCTCCAGCCTTCGAAGCTTGGCCGCGAGCAGAGTTCAACCTTCACCAATATCTACTTCCACGTTGGGGCGTACCAATTGGTGAAATGTGGAATCTTGAGAGGCTGGCTGAGACTTGCAAAAGGAAGAAGCAATACACCTTCTTCATCACTAGTGCCCCAGCCAATGTTCCTGGTATGCATATGTCGTGCTGACAAGGAGTATGCGCTAACGAAACAACCTTCGCAGGCGGCATAGGAAGCCACCCGAATGCTGTCGCCATTTTTTAAGAAGCCGGGATGCGACCAACCATCGGTAATTTGTTCCCTTACTGGACACTCGACATTGACACTCCGTGAACTTGACCGGGTTTCCCTACTTACTTAGCGTCTATCTACAACGTGACTGGTCAAGTTACCGCGATGGTGCGGGATAACGGTATTGGCGTGTTACTGAAATCGCGGATCTACAAGAAAGACAGCCTACAGCATACCCGGAATGTAGAGTAGCAAAGTCTATGCATTTGATATGGTCCTGAGGCTCAATCCTGACGTATCGAGTGAGGTGTAGGCTTGTGCTCTTTACCAGTACATGTATGGCCATTCTTAAACTATGTCTACTTCTACTACCTACAGAGAAGCTCCCACCACTATACACTCTCGATCTCACCGGATTGACAATAGTGTTTTGTGAAAATAACGACAAACCGTCCCGTGCCAATCGAGTTGGTAAAAAGAGAATCCCTGCGATAGTAATTAGGCCACTCTATTTAGCTCTCTTCGTCATTTCCAAGTTAAGTGCCGGGATTTCGACACTTGTTGTTTCCTTGGTAACATTGAAAATAAATAAATCCAGCGGTTTGCCATTATAGTTCAGTGCATCGACACTCAGCCATGTGACACACGTCGGCGTTCCGGCATCAATGGGAGCATCTTGATCCTGGAAAACTGCCCTGAAGGCAATCCTTGTCTCTCCAGACGAGATTTTCTCAGTTAAGTCTGTTGGGTAAAGTCTGATACTCAGTGCTGACGGCGAAGTCCCCATAAGCCTTGCAAGTTCTTCGCGAATGTCTGTTGATACCACTGTGATGTTGGACACGGACAAGCCCGGCAAGTCATGCGGATCTTCGATAATCAGAGAAGCTGTCAGGTTATTTGATCTGTACTCTCCAGAGTACACATATTCTGCCTGGCTGAGTGCCGCTTTTTCAAGCTCTGGTAGGAGCACATCGGCGACAACATCGACATGAACATTAAGATCAGCCGCGGCCACTTCGTCTGCTGCGAGAATAACGAAGCCGACATTATAATCGGGCACAAGCCCAAGATATGAGCTATACAGTCCTAATGAGCCATAACTAGTGTAGACATCGATGACGGGATTGATAGGGTTTTGGTCCAGAGTTGATTTGTAGATAATCCAAGGGCGACCAGTATCATTGACCAAATTCGAAGTGTGTGCAATTGGTTTGAGCCACCGCCGTGTCACAGCAGATAAAGCCAAGGTGGAATTAAGCATGGCTATTCCGGCTCTTGACATATCGGTAATTGTAGAGTACATTGATAAGGACCTTTGGAATAAGCTTGTCAGTGAATGACACACTCTTTTTCATTTCGAGAGACTGACGGGGATTCGTCACCAAAGTCAGCATACCAGTCGCTCCCATTGTTATTTTTGCCTGGAATAACAGTATGTGTGCTATTTGCTGGGCGATACAGGCCAGTAGAGGATAAGCCTATGGGACGAACTGCTTGATTCAACAAAGCTTCGTACGGCTGCTGTTTAATACTTTCCAACGCATATGCTAGCAGTTGGAAAGCCGTATTCGATAAGATAGGAGTTGTACCAGGGAGATGAACAGGATACTGAGCACGTAGGTCTTCGAAAAATTCTATCTTCTGTCAGTAATCATTGTCGGAAACATGGTCTATCCCAGTAGGTTACTTGCCTGCTCTTGTACAAGTTGGCTGTAAATATCTAGACCGCTGTGCGGCACTCAACGGGTTTAGAAGTGAAATATTCCGCGCGCTCAGGTCGGTGACACCATCTGTATTCGCTGTTAGGCAAGAATCTCCGTTGATAGTTCATACTCACAATCTTGAGGTACTCCTGAAAGATGTCCAGCCAGATCACCAAGTGTTACATCCTCCTAGGAAAAGTGTCCAAAAGGGGTCTCCTCGTTATCCCTTGTTAGTTCCGATACGTAGTTGGTGATTAGGTAAACCCAATGTGCCTCTCCAGCCTCGATGAGGAAAACCCAGACGGTAAAGACTTCTGTAATTGTGGCAATACGGAAAATGCTGTTTGCATCAAGTTTCGATGCCCCAGGTATTGGTTTGGACATGTGAGGCGCCGTATAGTGATATTCATAAAAGAATGGATGTGAATAGTTCAAGGGATCATTCGAAGTAAAAAGACCAATGGAGAATGAAGTCGTGTTAGAGGAAACAGTTCCGTAGGTACTGTTAGAGGTAGAAACAAGTTTGTCAAATGCCGCAGTGGTATTTTTAAGCGCAGATTGGATGATACTGTCACTTGTGAGACCGCTTGGACGGGGAAACCGTGGACTGAGGATAGGACATGGCTGGAAAGACTGTGAGCGTGAGATTGATGGGATAGCTAGTAATAGAATGAGTGAGGTTGGAAAAAGCATATTGAATACAGCTTGGAGTATGAGAACAAGATTGAGAGGTACAAGGAATCATGGAGAGAGATGTCTGAGCTCGCCCGTGCATCGGCTTTTTATACAGTGCACCTGGTTGCCATGAAGGATCGATTAAGATGGCTTGTATTTGCCCTTGACTAGTATACAACATAGTCCCCAATACAAAAGCCTTATCGGCGATGGCTATTCCGAGCGAGTATTGCGTGGAGTTTGCTCCGCACTGTGAAATCTGATCGTCGCCGCAATTTCCACGGTAGGAAACGAGAGCGATGGTCCAATTAAAACCCGTCGTTTCAACTTGATCGAGGCTGAGTTTTTCAGGCCTCCGACAAGTCAACCACCTTAAAACGCGCATCCCTTCTGACATGCCCAGCATCAGTATTCATTGTCGCTCTCATAGCTTAATTAAGGATCAATTCTGACTCAGTTCATCCTCTTCTTCCTCGGCAGGCTACACGTAGATGCCAATTGGATGAATATGAGCACCCGTCATGTGGACATTCCCCACAGAAACACCGCCACAGAAAGTCAATGGGCGACTCGGTTCAAAGAAAACGAAGACTGGCTGCTTGACGTGTCGGTAAGTTGGAAGCACAATCGGGCTAAAACTTCACTATCTTCCGGAAGTTGCTCATCAGTGTGCAGGAAGCATCGGGTCAAGTGCGACGAGCAAAGGCCATTGTGCAAGAGGTACGACATGTCTACTCATCCGGCATAGAAGCTAATAGGGTCCATTTCCAGATGCAGAAGGCTGAAACTTCATTGTGCCGGATATCAAGATCTATTTAGAATCTTTGGCATCTCGCGACAGGGGTCCGCATATCCAGCTAGCAAGCCGAACCGACCAGCTGCGAATCCTGATCGTCAACTCAGCATCTTTCCAGGGAGTGACGAGGAGCGTCGATTATTTGAACTTTTCCGCACAAGTGTCGTCTTTCAGCTCAGCGGATTTCTAGATGAAGACTTTTGGATCACGACGCTTTTGCAAGTCTCCCACTTGGTGTCATTGGTCCGTGATTCGGCGATTGCCATTGCAGCACACATCGCAGAACACCACAGACATTTCAGAACAACAACGCCTCAACAATCTCGGAATATCTCACTGAAATACTATCAAAAAGCACTTCACAGGGCAAATTGGCATACAGAATCCGCTGACAAGGAGCTTGTGGCTGTAATATGTTGTCCCCTCTTTCTGTGTTTGGAATTTCTGCAAGGAAAAAAACTGCAGGCCATGTCCCTTTTTGCGCGTGGTCATTGTCTTATGAAGACTTTTCAAGAGCGACACGCCCGAAACTTTGCTGTATCTGGCTGCGCAGCTATCTACGATAGTCTTCGCCCAATGTACAACAGACTTACTATGATGGCAAAGCTATTCGGGCACAGTCTCCCAGTGGACTATTCTGATCTGGCTTTTCTCCTTGGCTCAAACCCAACAATTTACACTGTTAACACTCTCAAAGACGCTCGTGATTGCCTTTTTCAGCATTTGGTCATCGCACACGAATTTGTTAAGCGCCTGAACTCTACAACCTGTGCGCCACTTGCGATGCACAAACACCATCTGCATAGACAGGAGGAGCTTCTCAGCCAGCTGGATGTTTGGAATAGTAACTTCAATCACATATGTGGGAGTCTTGCCGTGTCGGTCCGTGCTGCTGTCGCAACGCTAAGCATGTGGCATACTGCTGCAGTAATCTGGTTGAGACATCCTTTTGAGGGTTTCGAGATGACCTTTGACGAGAGCCTGGACTGTTTTCAGATCATCGTCGAGAAGGCTAAGGAGGCTCTTACTACTAAACAAAATGTTCAAGACACATTCGCATTTGGAATGGGAGTATTGCCGCCATTGTATTTCACAAGCCTGAAATGTCGACACTTCTTCTTACGAAAAGAGGCACTACGACTGATGAGACAATGTCCAAAGATGGAAGGGCTTTGGGACAGGGACGAATTGATAACGGTTGCATCCCATGCATTTGCGCTAGAAACATCAGCTCAATCAGAGATCACTTCCTTACCAGCGGAGCACCAGCGTTTGATCAAGGTGAAGATTCTCCAGGGGGACGCCGCTCGAAGACTCCAGTCTGCATTCATTTTCAGAGAACACAAGGTCGAACAAGCCTGGAATAAAATTATACAATAGCACCTATCTGTAAGCCTGGAGAGGCAAAATGAGAGCTCAGAGTTGTAGTGTTAACTGAGCCCCAAAGACTCCTGAGCAATCCAGACTTGTCGACGATTAATCCCTTCGGAAGAGGCTGATTTTCCAACTATTTGTACCGAAGCCCTTACCAACACTCAAGGTCTGAGAACGCAGCCGTGTTTTTGTCATGGCCATGTCTACAGTGTTGCAGTCGTGCCATAGAACTCAGTACAGCATAGCAACCCTCCTGTTATGGCAATGCTACAGCTTTGGGCATACATGAATATGTGGAAAGACTTATAAGAGGCAAAATTCCAATCGTTTGGAATATGCAAGCTGACGCACAGTCGTTCCACTGCCTTTAGACCAGAGCTCGTGGAGAAGCAATAAAGGGGGCTCAAAGTAGGGTAGAAGTCGTTTTTCTTCCTCCTCAAAGAAATCCATCCAGGTCTGATCAATAAATGTCTTATCCGCATCAGTGAGATATTGGGGCTCTGAAGCGACTGTGAAAAGGACATAAAGGCCCATATTCCACCAACAAGAATCCTCCTCGTCTTCATCTTCGCATGGCTTTGGAACTTGTTCCAGGATTCGGAGGATTTGACGAATAATATTGGCTGTCGAGCAAGAACTTCCACCATGGACAGACAGGCTCAACGAAGCCGGATCAGCAGTTGGAGAGTTCAGGCGAAGTTGATTTTGCCGGGCATAAAGAATCGAAGCCAGGCGGGTCGCCTCCCACACAGATTGCTGTATCGGGTCAGTGTGTTGGTACGACCAGCTCCAAAGGCGATCTTCGGTGCCTGCATCTTCAATCGTGGAGAGCAAGTCGAGGAAGGAATACGGCAAACAACTGTAAGGCTCGATGCCCGTTTGATGGCGACAACAATTATACCAAATACAAGCAGATGGAGTCTGCCTGCCGACTGTAAATACGGGAAGATCCATGACGCCTAAAACCTCCAAGAAGTTGTATCCGAAGAAACGGAAATTGAACCGAGGACCCGGAGTTTGTTGAATGTGCTGGAAAAGTGAAAGAAGACCATTCAAATGTATAGTCCACACGGGATGGGTATTCATCTAGGTGAGGCTTTGAGTTAGGCATCGTGACCAAAATAAAGGCATGTGCCAAGACCACGTACACTGGACCAACACAAAAGGAAGCCGGCAAGCAAAGTTGCATCTCTACCCATATTTATGGGGTTGCACACATCGCGTCTAAAGGATGATATGCTTTTTGAATAGTACTCATCGTGTTTATCTTGGAATTTGGCAAGTAACGTGAGTTGATAGGTAATGCAGTTGATCAATAAAGCCTTTGACTCAGCACATTGTGGCAGAATCTGGGATAAGACACTGTGGTTGACTCTCGAGCCCAGTGTCAGGCAACCCCATTCGGCAACTATGCTTGCGAGGTTAGTTGGAAAGTTGAATCGGTGGATAGCGTAGGTACAACACCCACAATCGTTCATCATCTGCCACTCGAGCTGACTCTGAAAGAGGCTAGGTACTTTAACGGTTGGACATAACTGTGACGAATTGGTCTTAGTTCCGGCTTGGGATGCAGCAGATTCATGGGTCCATTTCAGACGGAGTTGATAGCCGCCACACCGAAGGAATTTTTCACTGCATTGACCACAGACTGGGCGCTTCTCGTCACATTTTTTGTGGCGTGCTTTGCATGTCCAGCAGCCACGGCGGGATCGGGGTCCGTTATTGGTAGTGCGAGGTTGTGTTGCCGCCACTTTATTCGTCATTTTCTGGAATCACGAAAACAGGGTTTCACCAATGTTAGTACACCGTCAAGATCACACGTGATGTTGACAAAGCTTGTGGAAAGAAAGATAGCACGCACTGCTCAAAGCAGCATAGTGGGTAGATAAGCTTGACTTGAATGGGCTTTTCAGTATCAATAAAGGTAAGCGTTGACGAAGACGAGACTGTTAAATTGATAGAGGAGGAAAAGGACAACATGCAAATTGGCGTTTTGAGTTTGACATGCTTGGCAAACAGCGCGGTGGCTTAGTCAGCGGCGTCGCCGTAGAAGTTGTTAACAACTAATATTGGAGCTTCGGGTGCTCAACCACGGTTCCAGATTTTACCTATGAGATCCTCTGATCGAATAACCATACTCACAGATGGTGATCTCGCTATCACATCTGAAAAGACTGATATGCGATTTTCCCCAGCAAAAGGTGGGTACTTTAGTAAGCTGTGAGTAGGTATAAGAGTGCTTTCCCCTGACGTCTATCACATAGCGGATTTTCAGACTTTATGTCGTAGAAAGTCAGGAAGTATTCCAGTACCGACACGTTCCGTGATATCAACTCTACTTGTGTTCCCTCCGTTCTTGGATGGGTTGAAACGGGAGTAGCTCGGATGTGATAGCAAGAAATGACCAGCCGAAAGCCGACAGGTGACGGTGCCAAGCCTAGAACATGGTAAGGCATACTTGGGGATGAGAGTGATCCAACGAGTGTCCGTCGGATGCTATGTATTAGCTGAAACATGTCATGGCTGTGTGCTCAAGCCAAGCCCCGTGCCTCCAAAAGCTTGAACGTGCTCTACACTAAACCGGATTGAGTAGCGTTACACGACCCCTGCTTGAAATTGTTTGGTGATGGGGCTGAGGAGCTCAGCCTCGGCCTTCTTCTTGACATGGGCGCACCGTCAATCGATAGTGCAAGTATGTAGAACGAACATGTTACTCTGCAGTATGGAGTACATCCGTACGATCGGTGTTTTGCAGGAATGCCATACAATTTTTCTCTCAAGTTGCCGATGTACTGTACTTCTCGCCTCCGCCTTAACAGCCTAGCCTCAAGATCTGTGCGCTAGGATCTCGCTCCAAACGTCAGACTAAACCGCATCAGGCAGGCTCACACGCCCCCTGCTAGCGCTTTCGACACATAGTACTCCGTACTTTATAGTCCCAACAAGTGGTGGTTAGCCATATATATAAGCGCGTTCTCTTGTTAACTCACTGTGCTGTCATTACCTCCGACATACACTCTCGGAGTTTCACCAATTTTTTCTATCTTGATCCCTATCGTTACCTGTGTCGCTAGCAGTAACACGTCGAGCGTCCTCGGAAGAGATGACGGTGACGTGTCCAAAGAAACATCTTTACTCTCGGTGGTCTGCACGTATCTGATGCCGGAATCCAATGGAAACACAATATCGGCGCTCTAGAACTGGTAAACCCTTCACTCGTTCCCCGGGATAATGCGGTGTTGCATGTTGACCGAATTCTCTAGGATGTGTGAATTGCCGAGAAATCCGCTGCAAATGCGACGAGACAAAACCAGAATGTCGCCGATGCGTAAGCCGTGGAGTGGCTTGCAAAGGTTATGTCAGAACGCTGCGATGGGTCGGTCAGCCACACACGACGAAAGCTTCCACCCGAAAGCAAAGCTCAGAACGCACTGTTCGAAATCAGAAGTCCAATAACAACCTGGAGAATCAATTCTCATACCAATTGTCTATCTCGAAGCTACTGTCCACCCTTCATCCACTGGAAGCCCTCGATCGGGCACTCTCCGAACACTGGATGATGATGACTCTTCAACTCGTCTGCCTTGACCCGGCCGCTATATATGAACTAAGGCAGATATACCACAACACTACCACCAAAAACAAGTCCATTGCCTTCCCCGCAATGCTAGCTAACTCCGCTGCTCACCTACTATCTCTGGGAAAGATACCTGCGTCGACCTTTGCTCTCTTGCAACAAAGAGCGTTCAGTGCGCTGCGTTGCTCACTCAACAACCTGAATAGAGAGGCCCTGACTAGGGAGTCAAGTACACTGTCCAGCAGCAGCAGCAGCAGCAGCAGCATCCCGTGCTGCGGTGACCATATACCACTCCCACCACTGGATGACGATGTCATTATTGGTTCTTTGCTATTGATCGGTTGCGAAATCATTCAGCCACACGATAGCCGCGATGTGACTCGAATACAGATCCTCATACAGGGCACATGTTGTTTAGTGACTGAGCGGCATAAATATTTTGCCTGTTCATGTTCACGACTCCATCCAGAACGTTCGCAGCCGGAATACAAGCTGGACAGCCCCTTTTTCCAATCTGCAGTTCAGTCGTTGGCCTGGGTGGATATCATGTCCTGCGTACCATGCACGAGATCTCCCATGCTGGACAAGGAATATTGGCTTGAAGAAGCGATTTATGCATCCCAAGAGAGTGCCCGACAATTACGACCTAATAACAACTTGGGTTACTGTGCAAAGATACTTTCCTTGCTTGGTGAATCCATAACTACCATTCAAAGTTTGTATGAACAAACAATCTCAGAGGAAGAATTTTCCCGAATACAGAGTCATTTGGGAGTTCTCCTTGGAGAGGCAATAGAGGAATTGCCAAAGCCTGAAACTCTTACGGACACATCCAGCGATAAGTCAGCAGAATTCAGCAAATATGCCATGAACGAGACTCACAATTTCTGTCTACACGCGGCTGTTTGCCATGGACTCGCAACTCAGATATTCCTGTTACGTGCGACAGACCATGAGCGTGACTCACCACGAATTCAATCTCTTCGTGATCGCTTGTTCGAATCTCTGTGTGAAATTTCTACGGCTCACAGTGTCGTATCGAAGATGCTATGGCCACTATGGGTTTTGGGTTGCGAGAGCTACCTCGATGGGGATGACGGCTTGAGGGAATTTGTGATCACTTTTCTTCAGGCAGTCTATAAACGACAACATATGAAGAACGTGGAGAACTGCCTGAAAGCATTGAGAGACGAAGTGTGGACGCTGAATGCGTTAATACCAGACCAGGAGTGCGAGAGTCACGTTGTGCAACAATCCGCCTGGGTAAGGCATTGTTGGAATAAAGGTGTCAAACTCATACTTGCCTAAGTCTACTTGCCTAAGTCTTATGTTCCGCTCGATGGTCAACATGGTAGCAGGCATGACTAAGGTATCAACTCATAGCGCCAATCCCAGCGGATTGCCGGTTCCAGAAACATTTACTCCTTTG